GCTGTTGAAATTAGGATGAGTGGTGGCAGTTTCTGCGATGCCTGTTCTCAGCGGAGTGGCAAATAAACAGCAGCAGGCCTGTGTTCCATCCTTCCCTTTTGTTTTCTTCTTCTCTGCCTGTCTGTCAGTCTCAAGTAGCTTAACCTGTTTGCTGTTAGTAACTTTATGATGTAAGAGCATCTCTGAACAAGCAACATCAGCTTTTTGGATGTTAGTCTCCTTGACAATCAGACCCTTCCACCCCAGTTATCTTTAGGAAGGACGTGCTGGAATCAGATGCTAAATACAACAGAATGTATTTCTGTCCTATTTCTTCCCCACTCAGCTCAAAACCGGACGACACTGATGTTACTTGGAAGTGTTTTGTTTACAGCTCATCCACTGCCGTGGCGCTGGGGACCTTTTGGGTGAAAACCAGCCCTGCTTTCTGTCTCCCACAGCTGCAAGCAGTCAGCTTGGATGCTGGCTGGCGGTGGGAGCAGTTTCTAGGCCAGTCGTCCAAACAGACTAACAGAGCCTTTTCCGGAGTCTGGGATCCGACTTTGGACTCTGATTTTACACCCTCTCCAACACTTTCTTTTGGCATTGGAAGACCTGAGTGTTTGCCAAGGTCCGTTTGCAATCTGCAGTTTGAAAGATGAGATAGCTTAATGAAACATACTGGAGTATAATGTGTTGAAGGTTAGATCCCATGCTCCAGGAACCCTTTCTGGCTTACAGATCTGTCCTCCACAGATACTAATTGGCAGTGAAAGACTTCAACGTACTTGTCCTCCCTGAGCACCACTCCTTCTCATGCCTCACTGCATGTGGCCTTCTGCTGTGTGTCATCTCTTGCTGTATCTACTATCTGCAGTGCCCTGTTTTAACAGGATGTCCCTCGCTTTTGGCAGTGCTTTGTTTCTGTTGGCTGCAGTTGGCCTAGCTTACATGTTTGCTGTGTCATCAGTTAATATATTAATGCCCTGTTTAAATTTTAATGTATTAAGCTATTTCTGTGGCTTTATAACTTGTGGGTATAAGGCAAGCACTGTCCTTCTCTGTTGTGTTTAATACAGCATTATTTGCAGTTGCAGTTTCAGTCCAGAGGTTCAGTAATCATTAATCTCCTAGCTAGATGCTACACTGCATGCTGACATCCCTTCCAACCTGGGTGATCCTATGGTAATAATTAGTGCCCCAGCCGTTCCATCTTTCTGTGACCATGGAACTTTTCTCTAGAATTACGAGTTGTGAATCTGAAGAAACCAGGTATAGGTTTGGTGCTTAAATCATTAAAACATCACTTGGAGAGAGCCGAAAGTTTTAGGTAAGTTGAACTTCCTGCAAAACAACCACGAAACTGCAAGTTTTAAATACTCAATTAAGCCAGGGTTCTTAGGACTATAAAATAGTTTGGTGCAGGTCATGCATTACCATGTCCAAGTTAACAAGCATGTCACCTATGAAGAAAAGAAGTGGCTATTGTACATCTTTGTGCCAAAATAGTGCTAGAGATGAGATGCTTTTCGTTTTCAGTAACAGTGTATGTGGATAAGTCACAGTAAGTGCGCTTTCCTCTTTAAATCACTGGGGTCGTTTTTAGGGCGAAACAGATGACTTGAAAGGAAGAGCACCACCTTGTGACACCAAGAATAATGCTGCTGTGGTACCTAGGAAAGGAAAGGAGTAGATCTATTTGCATTTATCCTCTGACAGGATTTGTAGAGCTGGGTTTTCTCTTTCATTTGCCTTTTAAATCCTAAGAAGGGAACTGATTTTCTCCAAGGGATGCAAATTCAACCAAACAGCTTTATTTCATCAGTATGAAAAGCTCATTTTGCAATTTAATCTCAAATTTCACTTTTTTAATAGATTCACTTCAGGGGAAAATTGCTGTGAATTCTTAGCAGATTTTAAAAGCGTCGAATAAACTGTCAGGCCTTTAAAACGTAAATATGGTTTTCTTTGGCGGCCTTCTTACCCATTCTTCTTTCAGAAACCGTAAGGAAGGAGAGGGATTTTACAAGCTCTTCTCTTAGGAGCATGCAGGGACCCTCCTGTTTAGGCTCGTGCAGCTAAAGCAATGTATCGGTCAGTGGAGGTAAATGTAACTACATAGATACTCACTAACATGTTGATGAAACGTGTCGTCTCTGTAAACTGGCAGAGTTCATCCCAGGCTGACTTAACTCCAGAGCAGATAAGCCATTAAAGGCAAGGTGCAGATGACAAAACAGTCTGCAAAGACTGAATTGATTACATACACCCTTGTTTCTGTCCACCTCTTTTATCTTGCAGAAGAGCACCCAGAGGGCAAGGGCATTAAATAGAGCTCCAAAAAAAGACAATGACGTTATGCAGAGCAAGTTCGAAGAGACACACGGTGATAAAGCTCTAGCCTTGTGATACTGCAGTTGCTGGACACAGTCATTGTCGTGCTGTGCAGAAGTTGTGTGATGCTCTGAGACCTGGAATAGGAAAAGACATGGTAAGACTGTCTTCCTGCCTCTTGATAGATGCGTATCGCGTAGAAAATGAGGTGTTTAAGTAACTGTTTACTTTGCCCATCACAAATGTGAATTTGAGTCTACAAAGCTGGCTGCCTCAGTCAGCCTCTACCTGGGACGCGTCCTTTGTCAAGCTTTGTGTGTATTTACTCAGTTCAGGAGTAAATATCTCCAAGTACGCTTTCAATAGGACACGACAGACAGTCTGTATTAAATAGTGGCATCTTGAATGGAGGGGTGGAATAGCAGTGAGAAGAACCCCAAGAGACAGTGAGGGCATTCTGTGAGAATGGGATTCCTTAGGCCAGGCTGTGCAAGTGAGGTAAGATTACCCTTAGCTTGGTTATGAGCTAGGCAGGGATTGCAGCAACCAAACCTAAAGCCCAGCACAGCCCATGAGCAAAAGCTCTTCTAGCAGGTCTGCTGGCTTGGGAGACAGAGGAGCAGTGTGAAGGCCTGGAGGGGCATAGCAGATGTCTCTTGGTGGACATGCTCGTGCTCTGGCTCTAACTGGGCAGGTTTCTGAGCCTTTGGGCTGCCTTGCAAACCTGGAGCTCCTGCTCAGAGCTGAGGAAGGGAGATGAATCTGAGTTCTTGCATCCCAAAGGCATGCTTGAAACCCTAAGTGAGTGAGGCATGTAGCTGTCCACGCCTTGTGAGGGCAGTGGGGAGGTGCAAGGATTAACCTGATTGTAAGCCCATGCATTCCAGGAGAGAGTTGGATTCTCTGGATGTAAAGCAGACGAACACACCTGAAAGAGGGAACACCAGTGCAAAACAAGGAACTTGCCATTAAGGGCTGCATGAGGTGGCTCCTGCTCAAGGCAGGCATTCTGCCACCCCGCCAAGTCCATCAGATGTAAGTAAGTAGTAGCAATCGAGTCTGTGTCACACTGGCTGCAGGATGCTCTGCAAGCAAACCGGTTGTGTGGAGAGTGTGAGTTCACGGGCTGATAAAAACCAGCTTTTGTCAGGGCCCATCCTGTGCACGGTGGCTGTATGTGTGGCCTGCAGGAAGGAACAGTTCTCTGAACTGGTGATTCTGTGTATACGTCCCTGAATTTCTGCTTGCACCTAAATGCGCTTTGGAAGGAATTTAACCTCTGAATTTGAAGTACCTTTTTTTTGCCTTTCCTACAGGAGACTGAAGTGGTGAAACCCTGCAGCTTTTAGAGATTTAGGAAGGAACACCATGACCGAACAGGCCTGGTTAAGCAGTTATTTGCCTCTGCAAGCAACTCAGACCTCCCTGTGGTCAGCTGGTGAGAGCACTTGCTGCAAAATCAGGCTTCAGTGACCGATAAACGCACAAATAACTAACTCAGTTGCTGGGGGATAGGTAAGTGTCTTAGGCACTCACAGGCACTGATGTGACTCCTGCACAGAGCTGTCTCCAGTTCTTGTGTGCTCAGCTCTGGGTTTCCCAACAGAGGCTTGCTGCTCGCTGCCTGCACGCTGGAGGGAAGCTGTTGGCTGTCACCTGAGGAAAACCTCTCTGAACTACAGTAAGTAGCAGTAGGGAAATAGCTTACATCAGAGGCTGAAGCTGCCGCATTGTTACGCTCATTAACCGCATCAGGCAGATGTCTTTGCTGGCATGGCTGATGCCCAGACTGCTTTCATCAGCCCTGGTCTGCAGTGCCAGCAGCAGCCTCTGTGCTCGAGTACAAGGCAGGCAAACCGGACCGGTGTGCTCTGCTGCATGAAAGGGCTGTGGCTGACACCACCCTTAGAGCTGGAGGTGTGGCCCAAATGCAGTTCCCAGCGCCGGGGCTCAGAAGTGCTCCAGATTGTGCAGATCAGAGACTGGTGGGAGGAGGGAGGAAATGAGCAGAGAGTTTTAAAGCAGGCCATGTAGCACAGATGGGGTATGGGTGAGCACAAAATATCTTTAAAGAGGTGCAGTCTGATAAGCTAGCATCTCCTGTGGCTGCTGGAAATGCTTTACGGTGGGGTAGATAAGGTGGCAGCAGCATGCAGCTGTGAGAAAAGGATGGAGATGGCTGTAAAACAGCATCTTTCTGCTGCTGGAGGACCAGGAACAGTCTGGGGCTCAACGGATGAGGTGTGCAGTACTGTGGCTGGCGTGTGTCCTGCTTTCGCCCCCATCATAGACTGGGGAGAACTGGGCAGTAGCCGTCTGTAGTCAGTAAAGATCAATTGCTACAGAGAGCAATTGATTCTACTACCTTAGATAACCGTCCTAGAATGATATGAAAAGTATGTATCCTCTCAAAGTACCTAATTTTCTTCACTTACTGGAGAAGGAAGCTAACTTACTAGCTTAGACCAGGTACTCACTTTTGGATAGCTAATATTAAATTATATGAATCCTACCAGTGGGTCTAATAAAAACAGGATTTGACAATCAACTCTTTATTTCTAGAAACTTTTAGAGAGGCTGAATTGGAAATGAGATTGTTTTGTATAGGGCAATTGTTTTCCTATTTTTTAAGCATCATTATATATGTGCCTGCTATACTCCAGTGCATCATTTATTCCTCTGCTGCCATGACGGACTTGGTTGGTTGACTTTGCAAAACCTCTTTCTCCATGTCTCTCTTTTCTGAAGGTCAACATTTCAATTTATTGCAGTTTTCTTTTTAGATCAGAATATGATGATGATGATGATGATTTCGGTCATTTCTTTCTGTAGGTATTTCCAGCTTTGGAAGATGACCTAGCAATTGACGCTCCTTTTGAAATTGAACTTGAAGAAATGGCCAGTGACATGTAGGTACTGCAGGTTTAAACTCGGCTCCTCAGATTTCTGTCAAAGGTGATGTGTTTGTGCCATTAGCGATTAAATCTTTTTCAAGTTTGCATGACTTTTAGAGCTCATACGTTGCAGATGGAAAACCTCATCTTCCTATTTTAGGGAAGTAGGCTGTTTGCCAAGCCCGTTTTGACCAAGACATTAAATTGTTCATAGCTGTTTCAGCTCATCTGGGCTTTATGTAATCAGTTAACGTTTTCCACATGTGGGCGAAGTCCCAGTCACCTTCTGTGCTTGAGCATATGTGGGATGCTATTCAACCTGTGGGATGTAAATCAGTGGTCTCTGGGTTTGACCTCATCTTTTCAGGAGGACTCTGACACTTCCTTGGTTGAAAGCATTTGTGGGAAAATCATTTATACATTCCCGGGCTTACGGGACTTGAGATTTACCATTTTATGAGAGCATTGCGAGGAGGTCTTTGTGCTACGTTTCTGAGTTCTTTGAGTCATTCATGCTGTTCTGTTTCTGTCAGTTTTACGCTCTCTGTGGTGGCTTTAGCAACAAACACTTTGGACATTCCCAGCACCTACCTGACGTAAATAAATGTCTTTGCTATAGTCTCTCTTTATTTTTTTTTTTTTTTAATTCATGTGTTATTATTATTTTAAGTTTCAAGTGAAACCAAACCTTTTAGTAATCAGTTTCTCTGGGTGTTTTCTCCCAGTTGTAATCACCGTCTGGTCTCTAATCACGAGCTCAATTACCGTGACTGCTAACTGCAATTGCAGGATTAGCTCTTTAGCCTTAAACCAGTCACAAATTCTTCTGGATTTTCACCCTCTGTTTCTTTAAAACTCCTCTCTGAACTGTTTCACTTTTCTGAGTAGGAACATCCTTCTCAAATTAGCCTCATGTGTCTGAGTTTACTGAAAACTCTTTTTTTTTTTCTTTCAGAACTAGCTAGTACTATCATTTTTCTTCTAGGTGTTGTCCTTTTGACTGATGCACTCTGCTTGCGTGGCGGGGGGGGGAGGAGAAGGAGGATACTGAAGTGCTTTCTACCAAGTGTGAGCCAAACTCAGAGTAGCCTTATGATACATGGGCCTTCTCTGAGAGCCATATTGAAGCATCGTCTCCCCACAGTTTCATAGCCTTTTCTCTGGCAATTGAATGTAATTTTTCATGGGGCAACAAGAGGTAATCCTAGCTAGTCAGCCTCACTGTTGCATGCATGAGAACCAGATTACTTTTTTCCTTTAGATAGGTGAAGAAGTGTCACGTTACCAGCCGGCTTTGTAAAACTGGCAGAAGACACCAAAACCTGTTTCAACCATTAGCTGCACTGCATGCATACAAATTTCATACCTTTTACCACCTGGAGAGACCTTTTTCTACCTGTCCTTTCTTTTCTAATTGGCCTTGGTCTCTTAGTCTCCCTTGGGCATCCAGCAGCTAATCAGTGCAATGAGCCTCTGCCTCACTATGCTAATTTCTACTGTTCTCCAGTTGATTTCCTCAAAAATATCTGAGGAACCTGCAGAGGGAAAAAATAAAAAAGAGCACAGTGACAATGGGGTATAAAACATGGGGCTGCAGAAGGACAGGCCAGGAAATTTGTCACTACATGGTCATCCATGCGTGGAGACCTCATAGCAGCCTTCCAGTATCTGAAGGGGGCCTACAGGGATGCTGGGGAGGGACTCTTCATTAGGGACTGTAGTGACAGGACAAGGGGTAACAGGTCCAAACTTAGACAGGGGAAGTTTAGATTAGATGTAAGGAGGAAATTCTTTCCTGTTAGGGTGGTCAGGCACTGGAATAGGTTGCCCAGGGAGGCTGTGAATGCTCCATCCCTGGCAGTGTTCAAGGCCAGGTTGGACGAGGCCTTGGGTAATACGGTTTAGAGCGAGGTGTCCCTGCCCATGGCAGGGGGGTTGGAACTTGATGATCTTAAGGTCCTTTCCAACCCTAACTATTCTATGATTCTGTGTACCTGGGTGTAAAATGTGATTCCTTTCTATAAGCAATGGAGCAGTCTAGCACAGACCAAGCAGAAAACTGGAAGCTTTGCCTATGTTGGGATGGGCTTAAAAACCTGATAAAGGATTTATCATTACTTCAGCAACTTTAAGTGATGTAATAGCACAAAGGTTTCTTCCTTCTTCTCTTTTTAGACTTCTCTGCAATTGCGTACGTTTCATTGGCAGACCTCCTTTCTATGAGGCAAAACGTATAGCGTGTACGGAGAAACATCACCTAGATTTGGGAGATAAAGCGTAAGAACACATTGCTCCCTTTCAGTGATTCATGAAACTGAACCCTTACTCTCTGAGGACCTCAGGCGCGCGAGCTGCAGGAAGGAGCAAGATTTACCATACGCTGATGACTGCACAATTGTTTTGATTTTCCTTGAAAGTAATAATTGCAGTCAAGACAGCCAAAAAAGCTCTTTCAAGACCACTTAGGTGAATCAAGGTGAAAAAATCCAAAGGGGATTAATTCAGCTGGAGAAGGACTACCAGCAAACCCAAAATACCATACCAGTTGCCTCAGGAAAGCACAATTGGCAAGTGTTCATTTGCTTATTTCATAAGCAACCTGTTCCAGGAATTCTTCAGCAGTATTTCTATTTGAAACACTTGTATTACTTTTTGCTTGTTTCCTCTACCTCTCTTTTTTCTGTGAAAGTGACAGCATTTTCTTTGTCAAGCGTCAAGAAAAATATCTTGGCATCTGCTGGGAGAAAAGTTATCTCAAGGAGCGTCAATTCATTCAAGAGTAGACATAGGCTTTGTGTTCTGCGTAGCTGATTTTTTTTTATCCTTGTTGCTTATAAAAGTTTAATATAGACTATCAAATTCTGCAGTAATGCAGAACAACCGCCAAACAGGTTGCCAGAGTTGCACATTAACCCTCATCCTGATCCCTCCTCCAGCTTTGACATCAGGTTGTTGTCTTCTGTTTCTCTACCTTCCTCCTTCTGGGAGACCGGGCAAAATTCCTGTCTTAGATTTCTGTTCAGATCTGAATGGAAAGTCAACACCTTGCCTCCTTGTAGGGTGAGATAAATAGTACAGGGGCTACTACGAACTACCCATTCGGAATGGTGCCTGCCTTGCTGAGGGTTGTGTTTATGTACCCACTCTTCCAAAGTCTCCCAGAAGTGAACAGAATCAGAAAGCCTCCAAGAGAATTTACTGGACCACAAAGAAATAAAGTGCTTGCTTGGCTGTGTCTTCTCATGCACAGAACATTGATCTGATAGAATGCTTCTGGGGATAGGTGAGGAGGAAGACCAAGCAGCTAGCTGAGGGAATAAAACCCCATCACAGCACTGCAATCACCCCTCACTCTGTGGTAATGTGCCCAGTGGATAGATTTGGATTTTTCCTTTGCTCTCAGGTGGCCTCGTTAAGGCCCTGAGGGCATCAGTAAGCCTTAATGACCCTAAGCAGCCTCACCTGTGCATTGAACCACACCCAGGAGCCCTATTTAAACCCAGCTGTCTGCCTTTGCTTTCTGTGTGGGCTTTGTTGGGGGAAGGCTGCTCTTGAGCTCTGTTTGTGCCTGTGAAGTTTCTTATTCTGGACTTCAAGCTATAGCCTGACTGCCTGGCTTGACCATGTGGGACTGGTGTGCCCTGTGCTCTGCTGTATGTGTCACTTCACTTGGAAGTGGCATTTAATTGCAATGTTTCAGGTCAAGCTTGTGGGGGGGGTCTTGCTGAGGCTGCCACAACTCCCAGTTTGACTGCGAGTTAACCAGCTAATTGGAGAGACATGGAGAGATGTCCATCGAAAGAGGATAAGAGGCTTCTAAAACAGGAGGTGGAGAAAGAGTTCTCCATTCACAATCCATTAAGAGGAGCTTCAGCCAATCTCAAGCAGTCATTTCTAATGCAGCTAAAGCAAGGTAAAGGGTTGAGCTTTATTGCTTTTACTAATAAGACTTTACTTTTTAAAGCAGTATGCCGAACATATGTAAATGCTTCTATGTATATTTGCAAATATAACTTCTATTGATGCATCTCAAATGCATCTGAAAGCTATTTTGTGTGTCTGTGTGCTCTGGTGTTCCTCAGGGTTGGTACAGCTACCAGGTGCTAAAAGCCCTTCAGAGTAAGACTTAGCAGGAGCTGTGAGGGTACTGAAAGCAAACATACAGATACTAATCAAGCTTTCTACGGGTCTCAGTAACTGAGCAAGTATTACTGTGTGTGCACAGCTACACAATACTGCACGTTCTCGGTTTGGCTTGGAAAAGACATCTTTGCATGGTGTTTGTCTCCTCAGGTGAGCTACAGGCCTGCCAGAGCTGGTTGAACCTGTGATGCAGGTGTTGCTCCATCTTCTTCAGCCTGGTGAGGTTTCCCTTACCTTTCCTCAGGGCAGTGAGTGAATCCTTCTGTCTGGGAGGCTACAGCTGTGTCTAACCCTGTTTCTATGCTGGCTGGGGAGGGAATGCCTTATGGAAAGGAAGTGTACCTGTGTGGTGGTAATGATTATGTTGCTAAAGAGGTGCTTAAGACTATATAGCAGTGATGCTAGATTTTCTGTATTGAGACCCTTTGTTGTATGTCTATCATGTAGTTAAAAAGCATGTCTTGTGATTATTTGTATATGTACAGCTGTTTAAAGTTAGTCCTTGTTACATTAGGCTATTTTGTACTTCTGCATTGGTTCTGGGTAACTTGGACTTTCTATCGAATTGATTTTGGCCCAGGTTCCCAGGGTTAGTCATGAAACTGAGTTCTCACAGGACTGGGGCTCCTGAAATATTTTTCTGAGTCTTTGTGCCTGTGAGCATAACCTGCACACAGCATGGGATTCCCAGCTTCTAGAAACAAGTGCTGGAGGATTAGCCTGTGAAGTTACGAGGAGAGAGAGGAAACAATGCCCAAATGCTAGCTACTTTTACATTTGGTTCTAACTGTGCATGTGATTAGAAATTAACAATTTACTGAGCTTCTGTTTTTCACTGCTGAGAAGGTCAGAGGCAGATAGCAGTTTTCTTGAATTTAGTACTTGTCAGAGGCTTTTACACAATTCAGTATTTGTCCCTTTTTTTAATCCAGGGAAGGAAGCTGAGCAGTTTCCTTGACCTTCAGCTTCTGAGCTGCATTTTTCCTTATCAGGACAAAACCTTTAAATCACTCCCAGCCTAGTAGAAGATAAACAAACACAGGGTTTAATTTCTATACTTAACTGTTGCACACATCACTTGAAAAGTTCATGATCTCACTTTAAGAGACTTGCTTATCTCTGTGGGGGTGGCAGTTTTCCTCCCTGCATGGAGAGGTTCCCTTAGGGTGAAAAGAGGGGAAATTTTAATGGGTTACCGAAGGATCTCTCTAAATTCTTGATTACTTCCCATTTTGGGTATGTAATATCTACTAGAGTTATTAATCTTAATCACTTGACGTTTCTAGGTCTTCCTTGAAGACAGAGAGCTGAGTTGGAGTTTTTTGTGAGTTGTCATGCTAACTGTTTGGTGATTGTTTTTCACAGACATGTCTATGAGTTACTGTCAGCATAGTGGCTGCCTAGTTTCTTCCTTAGGGCGATGCAATGAAGTGTAGCATGTTCTAGAAAGTCTATGTGTAGGATGCATGGATTTTGATGGCTGCTGCAGGAGAGGAGTATTTGTTGTTACTGTGGAAATGTGTTGCTGGGTTATATATTTGCTTTAGTTTGGAGTGTTTTCATCTGGAGAAAGCAGGTTGTAGGCTTGGAATAAGAATTTGGCAAAGATGGAGAGACAGGAGTGCAAATGCTAAGTGAAAAGAGCAGAACCTAACGGGTGGTACCTGTTAAATAATATTCTGTAGTGGTGCCAGGTGAGGGCAGTGTAATGGTCAGGTCTTCTATGCTTGAGCTTTCTAGGATGTATCATGCTCTATCTGTGCTCTCCTGGCAATATGTTCTACTTTGGCTCTTAACGTCTTCAACATTTATGTGAGTACCTTTTTTAATTTTCTACCCAGTTATAGTGGATGATTAAATAAAAGCTGTTATCACTCTTTAGCAATCTTACCTCTCAACACCATTATGGCAAGAGCACTACTATAAACCTTAATCCTTCTCTTTCATGCCAGCTTCATGTTGGAAGAGTTACTGTCCCAGAGCCTGTACTGAATTTATGCCAGAGCACGAAACTCTAGATAAACTACTAGTACTAGCCACAGAAACTGAAATCATGAACACTCCCCAGTGATGCTTAATCAAATCTGCCTTAAGGAAGCTGTGGTAGAAAAATAATGTTTGAGAGGAGAAGTTAACAATGATGGTTTCTGAGGTGTATGGATAGCTTTCAGCTTTGGTTACTGTAAAATGAAATAAATAAATGGATGTGCATCAGCCTTTCCATAAGGAGTGTGATCAGATCCTTGCCTTGTTAATCGCAGTACTTGGGTGCCGAAGCTTTGTTGAGAAACGGGGAGAAGGTTCTTCCTGTGTATCAGACAGTGGCCTTTAACATAAAACTTGCTATTTTAGTATGAATATTGGAGGCAGCAATCTTAAATTTGCTTTCAGATGACATTTATGAGCTAAACTCAATTGAAAGCTGACACTGAGAGAACTTGTCTTTAGACTCTGGTTTTTGTGTAGTTTTGCATGCAGCCAGGTCTTGGTATAAACTGGGGAAAAATCTTTTGTTTGAACTTTCTAGTGCTTAAGTTTTTATTAACTTTTCCTCTGTAATTCTCAATATGCTTCTATTATAATTCTCAATATGTTTTGATAGCATTCAGGGAATAAAAGGTAAGGCTGCTGTGGCTAATTTAATGCCTGTAAATTCCTTGCAGATGAGCAAGGAAGGAATGCGTAGTCTTTTGGGAGGGAGAGGGGGGAAACATAAGCCTCCTTATATAAAAGCAGTAGTTGAAATGCTGTTCAAATACATTAATTAATTAGGAGTTGCATTTTCCATCTAAATAAACAGATTAATTCATAGCATTTTATGCAGATGAACAAAGTAAAATAGACCTGTGACCAAAATAATCAGGCCACGATTATTTCCATGTTCTTGTCTTCATGTTATATTTGGGGATGGAAGAGTTCTAGCAAGTCTTCTTTTTTTTTTTCCTCTGAAATATTTATCTCAATAAGAAGAATCACATATAGGAGACCAGTTCAGCGAGGAACAGAAACTGATGCATAATCTTAAATTCATGCTCAGTTTCAATGTCTTATTGAATACTTACAGTCCCCTTTTGCACAAACTGATGTGTGAATTTCAAGTTAGTTTGACCAAAATGGAATCGTGTAGAAAGCTGTGCAGAACCCAGCCTTTATTTTTTACTTTGCAGTGTGAAATTTTTTCTTCTAATGGATTGTGCCTTGAAACTGAATTCAGAATGCTTTGAACAAAGCTTAGATAATCTCATTATTAGGGTGCACTTCAGCATTAAATCTCTTGTGTTGATACCAGAGCTTGAATGTAAAAGCCCCTTAAAAAAACTTGTTCTGAGTGCCATAGTGGGATGTTTCTCACTGCGCCCATTTCAAGGTGAAAGGTATCAAATTGTAATTCATGTTTTATTAAACCACTGCTATAACCCACATGACAAAACTTGTTAACTTTTAATTATATGCCTGCTTTTAGCGTTATTGCTCTCTGCAAATGCCTGACAGGAGGATGGAGCTGCCCCAGGGCAGGTGTAGGTGGAGCTGAGGAACAATTCCTTCCCCAGAGAGTGCTCAGGCATTGGAACAGGCTGCCCAGGGCAGGGCTGCAGTCACCATCCCTGCAAGTGTTCACACAGCGTGGAGACGAGGCCTCAGTGCCATGGGTCAGTGGTGGCCTTGGCAGGGCTGGGGAACGGTTGGACTGGGTGAGCTTAAAGGGCTTTTCCAACCTGGTTGATTCTGTGATTCTGTTTGTGCTCATCCACATCTATTACAGAAACTAATGTATTTGTATCAAAATAGTCTTTTAACCAGTTGTCCTTCTCAGTTTCTATTTGGTTTCATCTTGCATTTCTCCACGATCACTGTTCTTCCTGATTTTTCTGTGATCTCTCTGTAGGATGTTGGGCAGCATGGCATCTATCATTCCAGAAAGGAAGGATACACATCACAGTATTCGTCAAAGTTTGGATTCCCATGATAATGTGGAATTCGAAGCTGCAATATTTGCTGCTGCCAATTTTTCTGCACAAAGTAAGATGTCATTTCTGTTTTCAGTTTTTCATATCACAGAGAATGGAAACTCCATTAGCACTGGCATTCACAAACCTTTGGTAGTGCCAACCGTGTAATTTTTAGCAAAACATTTAATTGTGTGGAATAACAATATTGTAAAGAAATCTGAGCACAAGTTTAACAGATACTTCTTTTTTTTCTAAAATAGTAATGGAAAGCACATAACTATGGGAATGCAAAGTGGAATAGCAGCTTTAATCAATGATTATTTTACATAAATCGTATTCTGGAACAAAACATAGTGCTACTTGTCACTTTGACATGTTCTTAGAAGCTTGCATTTGATCATGCCCGTGTGCAGGGTTTCTAAAAGAACCTAGATCTTGGCAAGGGCTCTTTTGTGAAAGCTTTTATTGTTAAAGCACAGTGTTTGGTAGTTCAATTGAGTTTAATTTGTAATGATTTTCCTATTGTATTTATCTCACCTAATACTTTGTCTTTTCTCTACAGGGATTTTGCTGCTGGCATATGTAATAAAATCAGTGAGATGATACAAGGTACGTGTGTATATTAAGTGATAAAAGGGAAAACCTGATTTCTCTGAGAATTCTTTATTACCTTTATGTAAATATTAGACGCTGTTGCCCTTATCCTCCAATGGTTCCTGGTTTTAAATTAAATTAGCTAACCATTAATCTAATGCCTGGCTCTTACATCCTCTTAAAATCTAAGTTCTCAAAACACCTGTTTGGTAAAGAGTGAAAGCTCATCTATAGCATGATGAATAAACTTGCATAGCCTAGCACAGGTTGCTTCAGGTAAGTTAATCATAGAATCATTGAATGGTTTGAATTAGAAAGGACCTTAAGATCACCCAGTTCCAGCCCCCTGCTATGGGCAGGGAAACCTCACCCTAGAGCAGGATGCTCCAAGCCCCTTGTGTCCAACCTGGCCTTGAGCACTGCCAGGGATGGGGCAGCCACAGCTTCTCTGGGCACCCTGTGCCAGCACCTCAGTACCTGCACAGTAAAGAAATTCTTTAGATCTAACCTGAACTTCACCTGTTCAAGTTTAAACCCGTCACCCCTTGACCTGTTGCTGCAGTCCCTGCTAAATCCTGTTAGCCTCCTTCAGATACTGGAAGCTGCTCTGAGGTCTCCACGCAGCTTCTCTTTTCCAGGCTGAACAGCCCCAGTGTTCTCAGCCTGTCTCCATAAAGGAGGTGCTGCAGCCCCTGAGCATCCTTGTGGCCTCCTCTGGACTTGTTCTAACAGCTCCATGTCCTCTTTATGTTGACACCAGATGTGTGTTACGTACAATGAAGCAAGGAATAGTCTTCTCCAAGAACCGTGGAAGTGCTTGGTACGGCTGTCCTTATGCTGGTAGATCAGTTATTGGGCGATCAGCAGTGGTAGCAATGCAGACTTAGTTGTGCCTCAGTAGTGCCAAAAGCCAGTACATAGGACTAACACTGCCTGTGTTTCTCTTCCCTGTTGCAGGTTTGGCCACACCTGTGGACTTGAAGTTGATCCCTATTCTACAGCACATGCATCATGATGCTAGCCTGGCCTCCAGCTCCCGGCAGCTGCTCCAGCAGCCGGTAACATCATATCCCTCTACCAAGATGGTCACTGTTACTCTGCACACTTTTACTCTGCTTGCTGCTGCTTCTTTGGTTGACATTCCTAAGCAGGTAATTCTTCCTAATTACATCTTTCAACTTAAAGTACATTTAAAAGACCTCAGATTCTAGCTGATGCTGAAAATAAGAACTTTACCTGTAGAACCCAGGCTTCCCTTCTCACTACTGTGCATTCTCTCAGGTCCTGGGTGTGTGTTTTGCCTTCCTTGCGTGCAAGCAAAGGAATATTTCAGTAGCAAAGAGCGCATTTTAAAAATGTATTTCTTGAAGAACCCTGAGGAGGTTGAATCTGTTCCTATAATTTAGGGCTACAAACCAAGGTTGTGGGAAAACAGTGATAGAAAAATACAATACTTCTGTGTTCTGATAATATGCTTTGCTGACATGATTTATGTAGCAGGTCTGAACACAGTGACATTTGAGACTAACTGTTCCTTCTAGTCATGAAAGTCACTGCTTTTTTTCCATCCTGTACAGCTGTGAAAGGCTGGTGTCTGTTACTGTTAAATCAGTGACATTGATCTGTCTGAAACTTCTTTTTTGATGTGGCTGATTTCTGTATTTCAGAGGATGTTTCAACAGTACCTAATTTAAGCCAACTGAAATAACATTAGAACACTCTACAGGCTTTTCTGGGTTTTTCTATGGGTAAAAAAGTGGTGATTTATTACCTTTATGAGGTAAGAGTGGTGATTTAGGCTGTATTTCTGTAACAGAACAGCCAGTGCTGCTTAAAAGTGATACAGCCAGGGTGGGGATGGTAAGCAAAACCATGGCCAGCACATTCATGCTTTTTCATGTGCTGGCTATTCCATCTTTCCATCTCTGTGAAGTTCCAGGAAAAGAACACCACAAGGGGCATGCAGTTAAGTGTCATTTAATTTGAGGTCAAGGCTTCAAAGGGGGTGGGTAGGAGTTGGGTGTGATTTGGTTTCAGGGGTTGTTTTTGACAACTACATAGAAGATGTCTGTGTTGCTGTCTGTTACCTGCAGCCACCCAAATTTGCTTCAAATCCCAGAGTAGTTGCTAGGAGCATTATCACAACAGTATAAGGTTTTTTACTGAGCTTCTTGGAGATACTTTATGATAGTTCTGAGAGTGTCAAAACAGCTTTCAAGGCTTCTCAGGTATGCGGTGTGAGAGAAGATAGAGAAGGATGTTCGAACAAGCAGAGCAGCATGGGAGAAATCAGCTGTCAGACTATTTTAGCTTGCCGTGGCATTACAGCCTGAGCAGTGGCTTTTCCATGTGGTGAGCAATTGGACAGATATGGCAAGTTAGTTTTGGCTGAGTATGCTCAAAATTCCTTCGCAAGTACCTTTAAAAAGACCTTCCTTCTAGTAGCATCTCTCTTAAACAGTGAATTTACTTTGTTGCAGATCCAGCTTTTGTTGCAGTACTTAAAGAATGACCCCAGGAAGGCTGTGAAGAGGCTTGCAATCCAAGATTTAAAGTTGTTGGCCAATAAGACACTACATACGTGGAGAAAATATTCAGGTTGATGCATTCTTTTAAGCTATAGTTTGTTACGGAAATTTGCAATTAGCTGCAGGATTCTTTCCAGAAGAAGAATTTTGGAGGTAAACAAACTGTTACAAGGCAAAATACTGATGTATGTCTCTAAGACTGGAGAACTGTCTTAACATCTACACCAATATTTGATCAGTGAGAACTGATAGCATTTTTGCAACTGATTTTTAAGTAAGAAATGACTTAGAGTTGGTGTTTCCTAGCATATGAAACCCTCTGTCCTTTTTCTCTAAACCATGTTCTAAGTCTACTACTAAAACAGATGCTTCAGGACATGACTTCTAATTTTGATTTCAGTATAGTCTATTTTGACTCTCAAAACTTCACAGCCAAGTGCAACTAAACTTTGAACAAAGGTAACTCATGGGACTTCCTTCCCTCTAGGTCTTTTCTCCTGCAACTCTTTAGGCACTCTGTGAATCTGCTCTTCACACTCCTTATGACAGCTTGAAGCTGGGCATGCTCTCTGTTCTTTCCGTGTTACTGGGGACCACTGCCATTAAACAGTACGTCATCACTGCCCCAGGTAAGAAAACAAGATCATATGATTATCTTTGGCATTTTGGATGCTTTGACCTGTCTGTCTACTGATAATCAGTTTCATCTAAACATTTTGTAGTGTGTTCTTAAACTGGTTTTGAACTTCAGGATACTAGGTGAGAGTCTGAATGTGTTCATCACATGAAAACTTAAAATGGGATATTTGCATACCCATGCATAGTCATGGTATGGTCTAAGATTTTCTTCTTGATTTTGTGGTTAATGTGCTTTATGAAAGATTTTCTTACCTTTGGGTCTTATATGCCCTCAGTGATATGGTTTAGTGGTGGTCTTGGCGATCCTGGGGTAACAGTTGGACTTGGTTATCTTAAAGGTCTTTTCCAACCTGGTTGATTCTATGATCCTTCAACTTTTCTTCATCAAATGAAGAAATGTAATACCTCCCAAGTGGCTGTCCTGCGTTCTGCTTTGAAACCATGGATTTGCATAGTTTTTGAGTAGCATGAAGACTTAATGGTGGTGAGTGTGGGCTGACATATTATCCTGGCTCAGTGAAGCTTTGCCACATTTGTGGGAATGACCTGCTTCAGTACGAGGTGAACCTTTCTGCCTTGTGACTGTATTTTGAAGAAATAGAGCAGGTACTTAAAAGTGATTCAGGGTGTCTTGTTCTTAAAATGATGATCACATGGTTTTCTTTTTCTTCCCAAAAGCCAGACTGCCCTAATGAGTCATTACAAGCCCAACTACATGGGCTGCAGAAACAGAGAAAAATAGTACATCCTCTTCAGTCATTCTGGTGCGTCTTAATAATTAATATGTTCACCAGCTTTTTTAATGAGATATAATAATTCTTAAGGCAATACTTCTCCGAGTCCCTGAAACATCAGCCTTTAGACCCAAATGTTCTTTCTTATCTCTAACTTGTATAGTCTTCAGGAATGGAGGGAGAGCCTCTGTGCGTGCAGAAAGAGATGCTTTCATCCTGTCCTTTAAACATAAGAAAAGAAATAATCCTAAATCAATATAGACTTTCTGTAGAAATGTACTTGAAGAGATCTGTGGTGTAATTATGGACTGTGCTGATTTATGTCCTGTTTGCCTCGTCTTTGTTTAGGAGCAGCAGCTACAACTGCGAGGTCATTTGATTTAGTAAAACTGGCACAGGAGTGCTGTTACCATAATAACCGTGGCATTGCAGCTCATGGTGTGAGAATTCTGACTAATATATCAGCCTTTTGTCAGGAAAAAGGTAAATGAAAGCAAGGACAGTGAAATGTGTCTGTTTACAGTCAGGCTTATGCACTTAACATGTGTTAACTGGTCATGTCTGAGAACCTGTCTGTAGATCTGTCTGATCCTTCATGCTGGTTTGGGAGAATGGGGCCTATAATCTAGCAGAGAATACTCTGTATGATTTTATGAATGGTTAGAAAAATTCCATCTTTGATTTAGAATTGTTTGTCAGCCTTTGAAAACTCTTTGCACAAAGCCTGTTGCAAAAGAGTAACAGGGCATTTAGAAGCCTTGGTTCCAGAGGCTTACACTCTACAAATGCCACAGTTGGTGTGACTGCAGGATAAGTTACCTGAGATATGGAATAGCAGAATTGTTTCTAATCAAAATAAGGTGAGGCAGAGGTATTGGGAAGATACTGGTCGTGAATGCAGCACCAGTCCAAGCTTTATAGCACCTGTGGTCAGAAAATGTGACTGAGAACTAACTTACTCTGGTTTTCTTTTCTTAGATCTTCTGCCTTTGGAGCAAGGTGCAGTTTTTGGCTTAGAAGCTCTTCTTGTTCTTTGTAGTCAAGATGACAGTCCAGGAGCTCAGGCAGCCTTAAAGGTGATATTACTGTTGTCATCCCCTAGCACAGCTGTAAGTTCTACACTAATACTCCTCTCAGAGGAACAGCTATAATAAAACATAAAGTTGAGCATGGCATGGAGGTGTCTCTGGAGGACAAAGAATATTGGAGAGAGCTTGCTCTTTGGAGATGGGGATGCAAGGTACATGACTACAACACTTCTCTAAACTGTTATTTTAATTTTCCCACTTCATAAGCTGCTCCTGGTAATTTTATCTGGTTATTTTCCTGTAAAGGCTGGTGGTGTGAGAAAGATCAGAATTTCTTGAATTTGTCTTCTGTATTTCTGCAACCATACTTGCAGATAAGTGTGTCTGGCTTTTTTAGTTTTAAGTAGACATTATGTTTATTGTACCTGTTGGTTGTGTGAGTTGCAGATCACGTTAACTTGCATGGTGAAGCTGGTCAAGTGCCGTCCTCACCTGAGCCAGTCAGTAGTTGAATCCCTGCTGACCCAGCTACACAGCGCCCAGGATGCTGCCAGGATTCTCATGTGCCATTGCTTAGCAGCTATTGCCATGCAGCTGCCTGTCCTAGCAGATGGGATGCTAGGAGACCTGATGGACCTCTATAAATTAACTGGACAATCTGCCACAGATAAAAAACAGGAACTCTTGGTAAGACTTCCTTCTGCTAAACAGGCCTTATATTCATAGAGTCATAGAATCAACCAGGTTGGAAAAGCCCTTTAAGCTCATCAAGTCCAACCGTTCCCCAGCCCTGTCAAGGCCACCACTAACCCCTGGCACTGAGGCCTGGTCTACGTGGTGTGCGAACGCTTGCAGGGACAGTGACTCCAGCCCTACCCTGCACAGCCTGTTCCAGTGCCTGGGCACCCTCTGGGGAAGGACTTGTTCCTCATCTCCATCTAAACCTCCCTTGGTGCAGCTTGAGGCCATTTCCTCTTGTCCCATCCCTGTTCCTTGGGAGCAGAGCCCAGCCCCTCCTGGCTCCGTCCTCCTGTCGGGCAGTTGTAGGGAGTGATAAGGTCCCCCCTCAGCCTTCTCCTCCAGACTGAACCCCCCAGGTCCCTCAGCCATTCCCCATCACACTTGTGCTGCAGGCCCTGCACCAACATCTGTGCAAACTACCGTGGATTGATTTTATTAGAAAGTCGGCTAAGTAATTTGTTATGCCTGAGTTGATGTGCCAGTCAATAGCCACCCTTTTCAGTTGTGCTTTAACTCAGTGCAGTTAGCTCACTTCATGTCTGGTAACTCTCATGCACATGACTTAATACACTCTAAGAGATAAGAAAATGCTTTTATTGTGTCTGTTTGGAAATGAATTTGAATTTTAAGAAGGAAATTACAAGCTTCTTGTTACTTCATTCATTGCATTTGAAACATCTCAGTTAAAAGCCACAGTAAAGATTCTTTACATGAAAGTGACTTTCATCTCCAAGAATGAAGCTACTTAAATAAATACTTAAAAGATACATGACTGAGAAGTTCCTCAGTTAAAATGGTTATGTAATCTTCTATGTAGTTTTGAGTCTAAAATCAAGCAGATCATTTCTGGTAGCTTAGGAAAGAGAACTGGCTTTTTCTTTCCTTTTTATTTAGCTCCTGCTATATAACCTTCTTCCTTACCATTCTTTATTAGGTTTCTCTCGCCACAGTGATATTTGTTTCCAGCCAGAAAGCTTTATCTTCAGAAATGAAAACTGTTATCAAACAGCAGCTGGAGAATGCCTCCAATGGGTGGACCGCCTACAGGATAGCTAGGCAGGCTTCCAGAATGGTAAGTGAAATACCTGGAGGAAAATGGTTTAGTGCAGTTGGAAGGGTGCTACTGACTTCTTTGAACTGGAAAAAGAAAATAAGGAACGTGGTAGGACTTGGGAGGAGGAAATGAATGGGGGATTTGGAAACCTCCATCTTAATTCCCTGGAATGCTGATTAAGATATATGGCATTTAGGGCAGTCATCCCACTGGGATGGTTTTTCACTTGTTTTTTGAAGTATTTGGAAAGGAAGTAACAGTCTGATACTTTCTTGAGCACATGCCTAATCTGCATTGTCTAGCTGTTCTTCAGACGGTGATATAGGCCATCCTGATGTGTGCTTCTCTTCTTTTCAATGTGATAAAAGGAAAGAAAAGATACTATTTCCCTTTTCACAGGTGGGGTTAGAATGATGTAGAAACCCTAGTATGAGATGCTGTCATAAAAGTAAATTTTAGTATCTGTTTCTCATATTGTTGAATTACCTTGTGTAATTAAGTACTACACTTATTGAGTATAAATATATATACATATAGATAAGTAGATACACAGGCTGCTGTTTCCATAAAATAAGCGTTTGTGCTTTTATTTATTGTTAGTATTGTCATGATCAAATGATTGGAAGAAATGTCACTGTTTCTAACGTTAAAGTAAGAGTAGTTCTGGAGATGTTACTGTTCTGTTATGTATATTTGTGTCATAGAAATGCACAGCCTTCATGAATGTTGCCTCTTAAAAACATTCTCGTTGTTGCAGGGCAACCGTGACATGGCCAGAGAACTGTATCAAAGCCTGCTCACTCAAGTGGCATCAGAACACTTCTACTTCTGGCTGAACAGCTTGAAGGAGTTCTCCCATGCAGAACAGTGTCTGACAGG